TTCTTTGTTCACATGACTTCCCAATTATTCTCTCCTTAGCTTCAGATTTTCTTCCATGGGTGTTTCAGCCGGCTTACATCCCTTCATTCCAGTTTCTGATAGTAGATCAAGGATATATTTTCTTTGGTTGATCATTATTTTTTTTTGACATTGCAACCTCCATGCCTAAAAAATACCGTAAAGTTCCCAAGTCTTTAGTTTCAAACTTCTTCGCCAGTAGCTTTTTTAATCTTTCTATCTCCATACAATCATCACCTGTTAGAATGATATCATCCACATAGACAATCAAAATTGCCTTTTTTTTGTTTGAAGATGTTTTGACAAATAAAGTGTGATCTGATTGACATTGCTTGTAACCATCCTGAATAATCACCTTTGTAAATCTGTCAAACCAGGCTCTTGGAGATTGCTTAAGTCCATACAAGGACTTTAGTAATCTACATGCTTTTCCTGTATTACTCTTCACACCCGGTGGAATTCGCATATATATATTTCCTCCTCCAAGTTTCCATTTAGAAATGCATTTTTGATATCTAACTGATGAAGCATCCAATTCTCATTAACTGCTAATGACATTAACACTCTCACAGTGTTTAGTTTTGCTACCGAAGCAAACGTTTCATGATAATCAACTCCAAAAGATTGAGTGAATCCTTTCGCCACTAATCTCACCTTATATCTTTCAATTCTACCATCAACTTTGTATTTTACCTTGAATACCCATTTGCAGCCGACTGGTTTTTTATCTGTCGGAAGATCAACTATAATCCAAGTATTGTTGTTTTCCAGTGCTTTTAATTCCTCTTCTACTGCCTTTTTCCACTTGGGATCTTTCAATGCTTCTTCCACCGTTTCTGGAACAGTAATACTATCTACACTTGCTGTAAAGTTTTTAAAACAAGGCGTTAGCTTTCCATATGCAATAAATCTCTCAATTTGATAATTTATGCATTTTCTTACTCCTTTCCTTTGAGCAATCGACAAGTCATTATCATCAATTAAAACATTTAATTCAGTGGAAGAACTCTGATTACCTACTTCATTCTCCAAAGGATTCTCGTTCGATTCTGGTTCATGACAATGTCCATACTGTGTGGGAGACTCGGGATTAGGTTCAGGGATTGATTTAGAAATTGGTTTTTGTCGTCTCTTGTAAATCTACAACTTGAATTGAGGTATTTGAGGTGAAGTGATATGTTGATCATGCCGAGGTAAATGTGTTTCGGTGGACTAGTTTGGAAATGATACGTTTTCTGGGTTCGGTAGTGTTGTTTGGTTTGGTTGTAGAAATTTTGTAGGCTTATTCGACTGGTTTAACTGGTTTGATAGTGCTGGTTGATCAAAAAGAGCTGGTTGCAAATCAAGTGACAATTGTTGTGAGTCAATAAACTGGTATTCATTATATGACTCCCCCTGAATAACAGTTTTAAGGAAATAAGGTGTTTTTTCAAAGAAAGATAGTAATAAAGAATTTCTTTATACGAGGATAATAATACAAAAAGCCCTTTTGAGTCGATGAATAACCCATAAACACACATCAAAATGCTCGAGGATCTAATTTGGACCTGAAAGGAACATTGTTATGAACGAACACAGTACAACCAAAAACTCTAAGGGGTAACAATGAAGTCATCGATTTAAAATTGGGAAAAAACTGAAGAAAAACATCTCTCGGACACTTAAATTGTAACGGTTTACTAGGGAGACAATTAATCAAATAAGTGGCAGTTAAAAGGGCTTCCCCCCAAAAATAGTTAGGAACATTTGTGGAAAAAAGTAGAGACCGAGTAACCTCAAGAAGATGCTTGTTTTTTCGCTCAACAATCCCATTTCGTTGAGGAGAATTGACACACGAAGTAAGATGAATAATCTCGGTTTCCTGAAAGAAAGAACCCAAAACATTGGCAAAATACTCACTACCATTGTCAGAATGAAACATTTGGATAGAACATCGAAATTGGGTTTCAACCATCTTATGGAACCGTTTAAATATTTCACAAGCTTCAGATTTGGTTTTCATGAGAAAGGTCCAGGTAGTACGAGTGTGATCATCAATAAATGAAATAAACCATCGAAACCCATGTAAAGATGCGACCCGGGATGGTCTCAAAATATCACTATGGATCATGATAAATGTTTGGACGGTTTATACGGAGAAGGTAGATAAACACTCTTAGTTTGTTTAGCAAGTGGGCAAATATCACAAGAAAAAGATTTTGGACTCTTATTGACAAACAAATGTGGAAACAATTTTGCAAGATAAAAGAAACTGGGATGTCCTAAACGAAAGTGCAATAACATAACATCAGTTGAAGGTTCAAGTAAAGGAAATTGTTGTATAACATGGTAGGAAGTAGATGGGTGGGAAAATAAAGTTGTTGGAATTAGGTAAAGACCCCCACAAAGCCTAGCACTGCCAATCATTTTCCCCGAGCTAGAATCCTGAAATTCACAAAAATCAGAGTTAAATTTCGTGATACATCATAAATCGACAGACAACTTGCTAATGGAGATAAGATTGCAAATGAGATTAGAAACATAAAGAACATGAGATAACAAAATGTCCTGATTTATTCGAATAGACCCATGACCGGCAACACCGGATAGAGAACCATCAGCTGTTCGAATATGAGAGATAGACGAGTCGACATGAAAAGTGTGAAAGATCTAAAGATCACCTGTCATATGATCACTTGCACCAAAATCCACAACCCAAGTAGGAGTGGTGGATGTATTATCCAAAGTAGCAGAAAGAATTCTAACTGCAAGTACTGATTGGGAATGAGTGTTTAACTGACTAAAAAACTGCTGCAACTCTTCCATTTATTTTTTAGTAAACGAACTTCCTTGTAAATCAGTATTCACAACACATTTTTCTTGAGTATCACGTTGTTGATGATGTTTTGAAGACTTCCCATCAGTAGGCTTGCCATGTAATTTTCAACAATAATCCCGCAGATGGCCAACCTTCTTACAATAGTCACACCAAGGTCTCCCCTTCTTTGGCCGAGTAGTAGTTTGAGAGTGAGGGATGTAATTGTCACCATTCAATCGGTGACAGGTGATAGAGGCTGAAGAAACAACAGAATGGGGTGAATTAATGAGGAATTCCGAAGTGACCTCCGATGAAGAAGTGGTGAAATTCATGATCGACGGCTAGATTTAGGGTAAAAAAGAAAAAAAATCGACTAATTTTAGGTGAAGGATCGGTCACCTAGCTCTGATACCATGTTGATAAAGAGTAAACAACATAGTGGAGAAGAAAATGAACTCTTTTTATTATATATTGTGAATGGTGAAAATACATCTTTTTTATAGGAAAAGTTCGGAGTAAGTTTTCTATTAGAAGTAAACTACTTAGTAGTTATCTTTATCTATCTAACTTTCTAAGAGTTAGTGTTATATTAAAATACTAACTTATCTATTGCATAACCTACACTCTTGTTGTACTGTAATCTACAAAGCCATTTCAAAGATATTGGTTCGAAGATTGAATAGTATCATGCCTGAGTTAATAACTCTCAACCAAACGACTTTCGTAAAGGGAAGAAGCATCATAGAAAATATACTCCTTGAACATGAATTGGTAAGAGGTTACAGTAGAAAGAATCTGTCTCCCAGATGTTCTTTGAAAATAGATCTCCATAAAGCGTTTGATTCCGTAAATTGGAGATCCATTTTTGCAATCTTGAAAGCTACTGGTCTCCCTATGACCTTTATCAAATGGATCGAAACTTGTTATACCACAGCAAGCTACTCAGTCTCCATTAATGGGAGTCTATCTGGATACTTCAAGGGAGCTAAAGACCTAAGACAAGGAGACCCATTATCTCCCTTTCTTTTTGTCTTATCTATGAATATCCTTTCTCTTCTCCTTAACATGGCTGCTCTTAAGGGCATTTTCAGTTATCAACCCAAGTGCAAAAAAATTAACTTGACTCATCTTTCATTTGCAGACGATTTACTTATATTTTGTAAGGGATCGACTGATTATGTCATCGGTGTAACTAGTGTTTTGGAAAAATTTTATGAGATGTCGGGTCTCCATCTTAATGCCTCTAAAAGAGAATTCTTTACAGCTGGTATGTCTTTGGGAGTAATTGAAAGCATTAAACAAGCTACTGACTTCAAATTCGGTTCTTTTCCAGTGAGATACCTTGGAATTCCGTTGCTCACAAGAAAAATCTCTTAAAAAGATTGCGCGACCCTCTCGACAAACATCAAACAAGGCTGCACCACTGGTCTAGTAAAATGCTCAGCTATGCAGGAAGATTGGAGTTAATCCGAACGGTACTGTCTTCTATATCCAACTTCTGGTGCAGACAACTCTTCTTGCCAAATTTTATCTTGGGGAAAATTGAACAGCTTTGTTCTCGCTTCTTCTGGAAAGGGTCAGATAAAGCCGCTTCAGGTGCACGAGTGAGCTGGAACAAAATATGCTCCTTGAAATCAGAGGGAGGTATTGGAATCAAAGACATGAAGACATGGAATAAAGCTTGCATGTTCACCCTAATTAAACAAATCCTTGCTGGTGAAGGTTCCCTATGGGTTGCTTGGCTCCATAAATACGTCATAAAAGACAATGATTTCTTGTCAGTGGAAGTAAAAACCAATACAAGCTGGTGTTTTAGAAGACTCTTTAAACTGAGACCTGAGGTGTGTAATCTCCTCTCTTCGGGTGTTAACTCAGCAAGTTCCATATGGGATTTTATCCGGGGAAAAAAACGAAAGTCCCATGGCAAAAACTGGTATGGTTTCCACTACACGTACCTAAGCATAGTTTGATAACTTGGATGGCCCTTCTTGATAAACTCCCTACCAAGGAACGGCTTCAATGAATTGGACTTATAAATTACTGTTTATGCGTCTTATGCAACTCAGAAATGGAAACACGAGATCACATTTTCTTATTATGCCCAACTGCTATTAATTTGTGGGAACGAATCTTTTCTCTTTCTGGTTTGGTTTTTACAGTATGCTCTTGGGATGCTTTTTTGACAATGGCGTGTTCTAAATGGAAAGGAAAGTCAATGCTATCCTTTGTTATGAAAATTGCATTGAACGCACTGGTTTACTTGCTTTGGGAAGAAAGGTGCAGAAGACAGTTTCAAGGGAGAACAAGGACATCCACTGACTTGCTAAAGATCTTCAAAGAAATTGTATGTATTCAACTCAAGGGTAGGAAATTCAATAGAGTAGATACTGTGAATATTACTCTTTACAATCTTTGGGGGTATAGAAGATCATTGAATTTTGTATGTAATTGTTTGTTATTCGAACCCTGATTGTATTTTGAAGCATTTTGCTATTTGGTTAATAAAAATCTGATTTATCCACACAAAAAAATAATGCCATCTCTTCTCTGCTTCTTAGCTATTTTATTTAAATTTTTATATATTACGTTATATTAATACGTTTTCTATTTTATATGTTTATTGGATGTGTTGCAGACTATATACCGATTTGTCTGATTTCATTTATTCGTGAGTGTATGATCATAGGCTAATTAGAAATTTATTGGGTTGATAAAAGTAAATTGATTACACAAATGCTTCTTTTAAAAAGATTTGGAAGTTTAAGGAATTTAGCTCGTGCCAAGGCTTCCACAATTTGAATTTAACAATTCTGTATGTTTGCATGGAAGCGTGTGTTTGGGAATTTTGTTTTTGATTTAGCCATGTTTTCTCGGTGAGAATGCTTGTACAGTGGGGGATATAATACAATGTCGTCCCGACTTTTCATATTCGGCATGGATTTAAGAATACAATCCAACAAGTACATCAAAGAAATTTAAAAAATTGAACATGAACACGTATCTGTATCCAACATTCACATCAAAGTACAAGTAATATAAATAGAACATGCTTCATTAGTTTTGAGGTTCACGTGGCTTTCTTTTTTCTTTTTATCAGATCCGATCAGTGAAAGTGAGCAACGTTCCCTTGGGTGCATCCGATAATGATATTAGAGAGTTCTTTATCTTCTCCGGTGAAATTGAATATGTTGAAATGCACAGTTAGTTGTTACCATAAGGTGTTTGAATTTCACTGTCCCTTTTTTATTTGCATGCTCTTCTCAACAGTATTAGATGTAAAGAAAAAAGGTGAAAAATTGTTGGAATTACTTCTTATGCCTTCTGATTCATGTAGTTGTTCCAGTATAATGATGTTCTGAATTCTTCCGAGCATTTCTTCTGTAGGTTTCTTACTGCTTTTGTTTTTTTTTTTTCTTTCAGTGAGGACGAGCGATCACAAGTTGCATACATTACTTACAAGGATCCGCAGGGAGCAGAGACTGAAGTTCTTCTTTCAGTATGAACCTGTCTCATTTCTTACGTCTTATGTGCTTATGAAAGCCACACACTGTAATGCCTTTCCAGTGGTGGGATCATACCTTCATAGTCCATGCTCATGTTTGAATGTGTAGGACATAGGTATCAAACAAGAGTACTTAGGGAAAATGAAGAGTCGAAGTAACATAGATTTGAAGTATTTTATAATAATTGTTTAAAACTGAAATTTGCTGTCAAGGAACTGTCCAAATCTAATTCCACATTTCAATGGTGTGTTTAAAAGCCTTTTGACTGATGTGTGATTAAATTATGAACAGTTTATTTGATTTCACAAACTATTCAGCATCATGTGGTAAAACAGCAGTACATGGTTTTCGTTCCAACCGTAAAGGCTAATGGTGATTGATTGAATAGTAAATTTTCATTCCAATTGTATTAAAGTACATGGTTTTCTTCAGGGAGCAACAATTGTGGATCAGTTTGTTACCATAGAGCTGGCTAGTGATTACAAGCTGCATGCTAATGCTTTTACAACACAGGTAATACACAACCTTAATCCGCTTTGGTTTCGCTTTCGAATTGATAATCTTTGATGTGAAAAAAATGTTTGATCACTTTAGGCAACAGGGGATAGTGGCCAGGCAAAAGTAGTCTACACGAAGGCAGAGGATGTGGTTAGCACCATGCTAGCCAAGGGATTCATCATTGGCATAGATGCATTGAACAAAGCAAAGTCCTTTGATGAGAAGCATCAAGTCACTTCGAACGCCTCTGCGAAAATCGCTTCCCTGGATCAGAAGATTGGTTTCTCTAAGAAAATCAGTGCTGGCAGCACCGTGGTAAATGAAAAAATGAGGGAGATGGACCAGAAGTATCAGGTTTCCGAGAAGTCGAAGACCGCATTGGCAGCTGCCGAGCAGTCCGTCAGCCCGGCCAAATCTTCCATCATGAAGAGCCGTTATGCTTTGGCTGGAGCCGCGTGGTTTACTGCTGCATACAAAAGGGATGCCAAAGCAGCTGAAGATGTGGGACAGAAGACAAGAGAAAAGGTTTTGGCTGAGGAACAAGCTCAGAATCCAGAGGACTCTGCACACATGGATGTTTTTAGCACTCCCAGAGCTGGTCCTGAAGCCAGTGTACAACCTTCCAATCCCTCACCCAACCAGGTTTACTCCTTCTCGACAGTGGAAGAAAATAGAAGGATAGTTCATTGCTGTACTCTGTAAGAAAAAAAATGGAAAGTACTTATTTTCATCAATCGAGTTTAAAAGTGCGAAAATGAATATTTCAAAGAATACATATTCTTAATAAACACGTATGATTTGTTTTATGCACTAAAATGAAAAATGATATTTTCTGTCACTTGTCTTATTAAATACATTCAATTCAATGTTTCTTGTTTCTTTTCACCGTATATAATAAAATGTACGATAGTTTGTATCATATTATTGATAGAGCTTTTAATAGAAGGAATCAAATCATGTCTGGCAATATCTTTAAATCCATATTAGTTTGAATTTTAGATTGAATGGAATCTCTATAAATTTAGATCGGGATAAAAGATAAATGAGAATTTTGTTAAGTTTGAATGAATTAAAAAATTTAATCCGATCCGATCTATGACTATTCTTAATTATGATTATGAATATAATGATGTCGGCGATGCTTCTATTGAAACTCCTCCAAACTGGTCACGTTAGTCACTAGACTCTAATCAAAAGCCTTTGAGGGACCTCTTTGGTTTGTGATAGGGGATAAATCAGAATTTTGCTCTAGCAGTCAAAATAAAATCGCAATTCTTGAGGGTTAAGGTATAAAATTTTCAAAAAAAAATACTTAAATTGAAGTATAGAATTTTTAGAGGGATCATAAGAAAAATATAACCATTTGAACCAAGGGGCGAAAATAATACGTTTACGACCTCGGTTCTAACTTGTTTTCTGATCACTTCTCTCTCTCGTGAGAGCTTAAAGCGCTTTCAAGTTTGTTTCCGGTTATTGTTTTGATTTGGTTTATAAATATATATTATATAATTCTATAAAAATTTAAATATTAATTACTATATTCAAAGTTTATAACATCTAATGGATTCTAAGATTTTAAAAATAATAAAATTAAACTCATTGAGTGATCTTAGTAATTAAATATTATAAATATATATTATTTTATAATCATTCTGAACTATTTAAAATAAAATAATAATAAAATTCAAACCTAATCAATACATAAATAAATAAAATAAAAGTTTATTTAAATATACATGGCCATATTATTTTAAAATTATTATTTCTCTCAAACTTCTTTAGCAGGCAGGCAACCCCGTGAGTCGTGACATACAATTCTATGAAAGAATATTATTAAACTCCAAAGCTCAAGGAATTAAAGGAAGGTCTAACAACATTTTTTTTCTTTCAACTTTTAAAAAATAGGGTAAACTATATGAATGGTGCCCTATGTTTTTGATTCATTCGATTTTGGTCACTAGTTCATTTAAAAGTGGTTTTAATCTTATCGGTTCATTTAATTTTAGTCTTTCGACCGTTAATTCATTAACATAAGTTTGAATTGAGAATAAAAAGTAATAAAAAAAAGTAAATTTGACATGCGTGTGAGACAATCATGGCAAGACAATGTGTCATACCCAAATTTAAGATCTAAAATTTTCATAAAATTAATTTTGGGAACTAAATTGAAATTTTAACTAAATTTGGAGACCAAATTAAAATTTTAATTAAATTTGGATCTAAATTCAGAAAATAACTAAAATTAAATGACCTCTTATGCAATTATACATTTCCCCCTAAACGTGGGTTTAAAAGCCCAAAACCAGAAAGTTTAAACCTTTCTTTTTCTCTCTTCACCATTTCCTCTTTTAGTAAGAAATCTTTAATCGATCGTTACTATGTTTTCGACATTTTTTGCACCACCGTATTTCTTATGTCGTCTCGAGTCGAACGGTGTCTGTCTTGTCTCTATTGCAGCCGACGTGTGAAGAGGCGAGGAAAATTAAGTCTCCGACGTTGCGAAATCGAGCTCTCCGTTATTCACTGCTTTAAAACGAGGTTGGTAAGTGTCTCAAAACCCTATAAAATGGATATAAAATTTTTTATCGAATTTTTTCAAGCCCCGAGAGCCCCGCACGTGCCGTCACGCGCAGTAGCTGCACGTAGGGAAGGTCCACCACCTGGTGGGCTTCTAGAAACGGGTCGACCCGACCCTCTCAACTCAACCTGTTCGGCCCAAGCCCAAACTGACCCAACTGAACCGAGTCAACCGTTGACCACTGTTGACTTTTTCTGAAAACCTCTATATTGACGTTTTTTAACATCTTGAGTCCGATTTTGCTGTCTGTTTTGCCAAATTTTGACCCAAAAGCCCTGAATCGAGCCCGTTAATCCGAAAATGTTTAGTTTTTATAGTATTTTTGCTTATTTATTTGAGATTTGATTATGAAATTGATTCGATTATATATTTTTATGAAGATACTCATGTTTCCCTCGACAGAGGGTCAGTTAAATCTGGTACTTAACGTCTGTCAGATCTGCACGATATGCATTCTTCGAGAATTACTCGTAGATTTTCATAAATTGTTTAAATAAATGTTATTATTATTCGTATTATGATTCTGATATAAAATTTTCAATTCGAATGATCCAGCGTTGCCGCTGATCGTGATCACCAGACCCAGTAGTAGGCTTCCTTATTGGACTACTTAGATCGATACATGTGTGTTTCCTGATAATGTTACATTATTGTTTTAAACTACCTATCTGAATTGTTTTAGATTTATGATGATACTAAATATTTTTACGACATTATTACCTAATTTTCTGAATAGTATTTATCTGTTATCTGATTTACTGTATATTTCTGATATGATATTTGATTATTGTATTTCTGTATTTGATTTCTGAATATGAAATATTTTCATGTTTTAATTGATTAAACTACCATTTTCACTCGAATACATACATGTTTATTACTGTCATTAGGGGTATTATTGGAGGAAGTATCTCAGGCTTAGTCTACGACTTATAAGACCTTACCACAGACTCTTCTGCTTTGTGCATAGGGTAGGTTCTTACCGCATGTTCTTATGCTATATGTATAAGGCTTTTATCGGGTGTATAGGTGGGTGTATAGGTGGGTGTATGGTTCTAGGGAACCTACACATTATGGTGATCGGATGGGGATAGTGTTCATATTTTTAAAATATGTTTGATGAACTGATTTTTTACTGAAGTATTTTGTCTTTTTGTTTTTATACACTACAAGGAGCAAAATAGGCTTTTTAGCTCATTATGTAAATTTTAATCTTTTCAAATAGTAGCATACAATAAACTAGTAATTTTGGCATCAGGAGGACCGACTACTCCTCATTTTTATACCACTGTATATCCCTATATGCCCTTTTTGTTATACTTTGGTGACACATGTTTTTGTTATTGTTTTGATATATCTGTATTACCGATATTTTGTTTTATATATGTTTTATACGGTTTTTTCGATATATGTATATATATGTTTATCGTATGAATCTCACTAATGGTAGTTTTATATTATATTGATATATGGATTTCAACGCTATTTTAAATATGAAAAGAATTTCTGAATACGATATGTGACTGCATAGATTTGGTCATAACTTCTATGATGGGTCTAGGAGGTTACACGATGAATGGGTTGATTGGAAAGGTACTCTCTGTCTTAATCTATGTTCCTCGTGTATTTGAAAATTTTAAGTTTTCAAAGCAATTTCAGCATTAACTTTTTCCGGTTAAACGAATTTTTGTTATAATATGTTTATTTTTATACTCATGTCCATCTTTAGTTCATTTCCATACGTATTTCATATTCTTATTTGTCTAATCTAAATGGCATTACTTCATTCGGAAAAAAACCCTTCTTGCTCCAAGTATTATCTATATTTTCTATTAAGTTGAGGTTATTGTTCTACAAGCCAAGATATTCATTTATGTCTACATGGCAGTTGTGAAGATGTGAAACATGATGAAAATTCCATTCTAGATACAACCAAAAGTGTAGCTCCCGATTTCAAAATACTGTTAGAAGGAGAAATAGGCATATGAAAGATGAATGGTGTGGTCCTGTTAACACAAAGGTTCTGTTATGGCTTCCTCAAAATCTGTAAAGAGAGGATGGTACTCTCTGGTTGCAGCTCATGCTACTGCTGGACATAAGCTTAGAGCAGTTGAGAGCAATGAAAGAGTGGTTGTTGTCCATTCTTGAATGCTGCTGCTTTCCCAAGAGATATGTTGGGTGTTCTCCTAATGACAGAACTGGATATGTTGTCAGCGGAAAACCAAATGGTGCCGTTGGATATTATTTTGCTGAGCATTTAGAAACAAATGACGGTGATAGTGTTACATGCTCTGTTGGTATTTGTAGTGTAACGATTTACCTCATTGTGTTTTCGCTGAATCTTTTTGTCCAAGGGGAGATAAGGAAGGAGATTGTCTCCTTCCGCTGAAAGAGCCAAGATCCATAAGCTAGAGTTACATGCCTATCGTAGCACTTTGGAGGCCTTCCATGCATTAGGCCCTTTAAGTTGGGAACAAGAAAGTTCACTGACAATTCTTCGTCTTTCGCTTAATAGATCGAATGATCAACATTATTTGATGGAGTTAAAGAAACTTAATTTCTCTCTAACGAATCAATAACATAAGGGACTAAAGTTATTTTTTTTGAACCGGTGACAAAAAATATAATAGACCATATGTATAATTTACCCTAAAACAAATCAATTAATAAAACATAAATTTTTAATGATTTTTATAATCGTTTATCATTTATCAATTTTCATATTTTAAATTTTTAAATAAATTTAAACATATCTTATTATTTACTTTTATTATTTAGTTATTATTTATTTTTTTAAAAAAAATTTGAATGAAAAGATAAAATAATTTATACCAGTATTGATAAAATGATTAACACCGTTTATTGATTTAATTTAACAACAATTAAAGGATTATTATACGTTAGAAAAGATGCAAAAATTAAGAATTATTTTTTTTTTAAATTTGAGGGCAAAAAATGTAATTATTCCTTAAAAGAAAACATCAATAACACTGCTTTATTCAGTTCTTACGCTTGCTTTGCTTTGTTTTGCGGTCTTCTCTCTTTCTTTCTATCGTAATTGAATTTCGAAGATAAAGTTGTTACCCTCTCTAGTAACTATACCCCCCCACACACAAAAAAAAGTAATTACCCTCTATCTTTTTTTTAACCTATATTTCCTTTTTTTTGACTTTATATTTCATCAATCTCGCTGGGTTTTGCTTTCTCACTTACCTGATCTCATCTATTTCGCCTCAATCATAACTGTAGGTAAAGTTTTGTGTGTATATATATATATAATGGGTTTTTGTTATGATTCTTTTTCTGTTTCCTGATTTTGAGATTGAAATATGTAGGATCTAGGTGTAATTGACCCAGTTGACTTTATGAAATAGATTTTTTGTTTAAGAAAATCAATTCTGCGCTGCATTTTCTTAGCAGTTAAGTATCCCCTTTAAATATTTTCATGTTAAGCTTCTCCATCTATGCTGCTACAATGGAAGAGTAAATGATATTTGGTTTTAGTTATTTGAGCCATTAGATTTAAATTAGGTAACTTTTTCTTTTGTTTTCTTTAGTCAGCTACTTGATCAAAGTTTTGGAGGTCTTGAAGTTGATTTTTTTTTTATAATGGAGTTGTTTTTGAAGATTTAGGTATAAGTTTTTACTTTTTTGGGCTATCAGAAATGTCAAAATAATTTGTTAGATCTGCATGAAGTTGTGGATACATCCTAGTAAAGAAAGTGAAAGAAGAAAAAAACAGGATATTTAGTTTTCTAATTAAGCACGATGGGGCAATTCGTAATTTTTTCTGTTTGATTATAATGTTGTTAGGCATTTGGGAGTTTATATTTTCATGGATGATTACTTAAATGAAATTTTATATTAGAAATTCTTCCTCCAAGTTGGATGCATCTAGGCATTAATTCTTGCAGACATTTAATCAAGATATAGTTTTGGTGTTTTGAAGGTTTGGTGAAAATGGAAAGAGAGTTGATGGATAAAGTTAATGCTTTTGGTGAACGCCTCATGGTTGAAGGAGCTGAGTTGGGCAGAAAGATGAGTGCTGGCATGAGCTCAATGAGCTTTAAGGTGAAGGAACTCTTCCAAGGCCCGAACCCAACTGATAAGCTTGTTGACGATGCTACCTCTGAGGCCCTTGATGAGCCTGATTGGGCCTTGAATCTTGATATATGTGACATGGTCAATCACGAAAAAGTGAACAGCGTTGAATTGATCCGTGGCATCAAGCGGAAGATAATGTTGAAGAGCCCTAGGGTTCAATACTTGTCCTTGGTCTTGCTTGAAACTTTTGTCAAGAATTGTGAGAAGGCATTCTCAGAGGTGGCGGCTGAGAGGGTTCTTGATGAGATGGTTAAGCTAATTGATGATCCTCAAACTGTTGTCAATAATCGTAACAAAGCTTTAATGCTTATTGAAGCATGGGGGGAGTCGACAAGTGAGCTCCGCTATTTACCCGTATATGAGGAAACTTACAAGGTAACAACATAAACTACTTATATAGTTCTTTGCAGCTGGTGGAAGGGAGTTGAGTAAATATGATTATTTAATTTCAATGTCTAGGATTCCTGAGGTGTGTATCTGAGTGGAAGTCATGTGTGAAGTTTATTCCTTTGACTGTTATTTAAGCCTTGGAGTTGTAGTTAATTTGGGTTTTAGTCTATAAAGCTTCACTAAGTCATGGAATTGGAATTTTTTCCTTCCGTAAAAGAAACATATATTTTATTGTTTATTTTGTTAGTTTATTGATAGATGATCAATTCAGAAGACCCCTGAATGAGCTTTGTCGAACAATTACTTGACTAGTAACGTTCTGTGCATCAATGTCTCTTGACGTATGTGTGCTTAGAGTTACATTAGGATTTAATACACAGTGCACTGTGCCATGAAAGATAAAGCCTTGGCCCTTGTGGCTTGTCGATTAAATAACTTTGAGATTTTTTCCAATGATCTTCTGTTCCCCTTTCCCTGCAGAGTTTAAAATCAAGGGGTATCCGCTTTCCTGGCCGTGACAATGAGAGTTTGGCACCTATTTTTACCCCTGCTCGTTCAGTTACAGTGCCAGAGGTGGATGCCAGTCTTGCACAGCAGTTTCAGCATGATGTGCAGCTTCAGCATGACATTCCTGTTCAAAGCTTTTCTGCTGAACAAACGAAGGAAGCATTTGATGTGGCAAGAAACTGCATTGAGCTTCTTTCAACTGTGTTATCCTCATCGCCCCAGCAAGATGCTCTTCAGGTATTATTGTCTTCTTTACTGCATTTTTTAGTACTAATTGCTAACTTCATGTACCAATAAATTATGCTTCCTTCTCTGCTGCCAAATAAGAAACCTTAAAAGATTTGAGCCTTGGAATAATAAGTCATTTGTATGTTTTCTCAATCATCACTTTGTTTAATAATATTCAGTATTATGTTGGGTGTAGTGAGCCTTTAATGTGCAAAAAATCATTTTATCAGTCTATAATTTTGCCTTTTCCCTGTTTTCAAGGAGGAAATCACTTTCTTTAAGATCTCTTAAATCTTTTCTGTTTTTCATTTATGATCTGTATTAGACAGTCGTGCGTAAGGCTTGTTGTAACCAATGCATGTGAACTTTCCTCAATAATAAATATTGGTGAGAATTCTGATGTCTCCAACAGTACCAGGCTTTTACTTCAAAGGTTGAAGGGGATGTGGTGGACTTGTTTTGCATGCTCTGCAACTGGTAAATTAGAAGTAACTCTTTGTGATAAGGTGACATGTCAGTAAATTAGATATAAACTTGGTTTATTTGCTGACTGTTGATTGCAAGTTAACTTGGTCTTATTTTGAAGATCTTTGACAATGTGACAGACAGATGACAATTTCACAATACATGGAGTTTAGTTCTAGTTTAGACTCATAACATCATAATGATGTTCCAAATGGACATTTAGTTGTTCTTGAGGTCGCAGCAATACCTAAATGATTCTAAACATATATGTTCAAGTGCAGCTTCTTGTAAAAACCGCAGGTGTAGAAACTAGTCTACATAGGTCTCTTTAAATCCCACTAATTTATGATTGCTTTGTTGGCAGGATGACCTGACAACCACGCTTATCCAGCAGTGTCGTCAGTCCCAATCCACTGTTCTAAGAATCATTGAAACTGCCGGAGACAATGATGCCCTGCTTTTCGAAGCTTTGAATGTGAACGATGAGATCCAGAAAGCTCTCTCAAAGTATGAAGAATTGAAGCCACCAGTGGTTCCTCGTGAGCTGGAACCCGCAGTGATTGCTGTGGCTGTGGAACCTGATGATTCGCCTCGTCATGCAAATGAAGATGCCTTAATTAGAAAAGCAACAGGCGCTCGAAATGGAACCCATGATGGAAGCAACGATGACATGATGGATGATCTTGATGAAATGATTTTCGGTAAGAAAGGTGGGGGCTCATCCGAAGGGGTGCAAGATTCAAAGAAGCAGCAAGAACCAAAAGATGATCTTATCACATTCTGATTCCATAATATAAGAACAGAAGGCCTATGTCGGGCCATTTTAGGTATTCATCTGAAGTTTGGTAGTAAAAACACACGAAAGGATTGTCAACTTTTTCTTTGACATACTGCAAATTATGTGTAAGCAATTCGTGCGTGGATTTTGTTTTACTTGAATCTTTGATGAGTATAGAATATACATACATGGACGGGATGGGATGATTGTTATGAGCAGGGAATAAAGCTATATGGCTCTTATATTCATGGCCTAGGTCTGCTGCTTTCAAAGACTTTCTATTAAGTGATGAATCTCATACCAAAATGAACAAGGGTATTATTGTGTAGTTTCCACCTTGAATCAGTGAGTTGGAATAGTCAGATTTTAATATTTGTTATTCGGATAAAAGGAGAGGCTTGTCACTTGCCACATTTAATCTCGAAAACTTGACATACAAATTGGCCACCGAGTTATATAAAATTTTCTCAAATTGGTATGTGGGTAGAGCGACATTACTAGTTTTGTTCTGTCCTTTCGAATCTTTTGAGCACGACAACCAAATTTTAAGTTGCTACCACGAAATTCTTTCTGTTTTAACTCCCTTCTGTTTTTGCATACGATATGTCTCTATCTAATAGAAGTTTTATATTTATATATTCTCCTGAATGGATCACGACATCAGCTATGGAGCCTTTTGGTATAACATTGCGGTCTTTTTGGTGTGATTAAAGGTTGTATTTTACGGCTAACACTTGATTTTCCACTTCAGCATTTTCATGGGTTTCCTTGGCAAATTTCGGTTATTTGAATGCTTTTGTATGGTCCTCCACCCGCCCACCCCCCCCCCCCAAAAAAAAAAACAAATGTGAAGCTCCTTTATTTCTCGTGTCCAAAATTGCCAAGTCTAGAAGAAATATGAGATTATACCAATTTTAAAACAATACTAGTTAAGAAGAAAGATCGTCAGTTTCCACCAAGTGAAAAGACATGCCGTTCTGACCTGGGTGGGAGGAAACTTGTTATTGTTTTCATTCATGTACCATATAGCGTTCTTAAAATTTTCAAATGAAACATCACAATGGAGGTTGATATAACATAGTTTTCTGTTAAATGTAAGCGCCCAGATACGAGTGTGTTCAACATATATATGCTTAAAATTTCAAAAGTTCTTCTGTGTATATTCGAAGGACTGTATCTTCACAACGATGTCTAAATATGCATCAGGTAATACACACGGATACTTAAAAGATAAATAAAGAGTGAACATATCCACATAGTAATGCAAATGGAAAATAAACCATATTGGTTCGAATTTACTTTGGAAATATCTTCTAAATGAGAAATTCAAACACTTGTTACCAACAACTGAAACAGAGAAAAGTGGCCATAGGTGCTGCAAAATAACAAATAATCCAACAGCCTGAGAATAACATAACAGCAGTTCTAGTGATGATGCTCCTGAACGTAGAGCAGGCCACAATACTTGCACACAGCTGGCTCTTTCAAGTCAAGGCATATGAATTCAATTGGGTGTCCCAGAGCAGGATTATTGTCTAAAACCAAAAAGCCAACAAAGACCGGGAAAAGTTGAGTGTATCGGCAAAAAGATTCATGCAACTTACTGTCCTTATTCACACCTTTGTTTTTTCTTTTTCTTTTTTAGTTTTAAATGTTAGCAGGCAAAGTTTTGACGATTAAATATTTAACTTTTGAGGATAACAAAATGGCCTTTGTTTGAAAACTACAAAAGTAACAAATCTTAGCCATTTGCTCATTTTTATAATTTTAGGTTACTTATTGCGCCAGTACTTATAAAATACGAATTAAAATATGCTTGATCCCAAAACTTGAAGGAAAGTAAGGATAAGGACTAACCTCCTTCACAAGCAACAATCCGGCCTTCAACCTTGATTGGAGGGACTTCATTGATCAACTCCATTGGAGATTTCTTGCTTGTATCCTGCAAATTTGGGGTAATAGAAAACTTAATTTCTTCATTTCATTTCCCTCTCGTATTTTGGGAGGTAAAGGCCAATAATTTAATGATAGTGCTATGAATAAGGCATGTACAATTGGACTTGACTTTACCCTACATACACCATATTTCTTAGGCACTTATAGGTTACGAAAAATTAATGAAAGTTATTGCTAGACATATGAAGTAACCATGTTGAGAAACACCTATGCTAACACCATTTCCATGTCTATGTAACAAGGATAAAGAAACAAAGAGAAAAATCAAGGCTATTCAATACTTGAAAATCTTATCCAAAATCAAAGTACTAAATCAGTGGGGAAACAATGATCACATTTGTAAAACCAGAAAACATCTGTGCAAAGGATTCTACTTTGCATATAAACACATTATCAACGGCTCAACGGCTTGAAGGCCACTTTCACGTGCTTAGATTGTTTTAAGCGTTGATAACTGTAATCTGCCATCATCTTCAACAATTCAGATTACCAAGCAGGACTTAAGAACCAAAAACAATAAAAATATAAGGAAATTGCTGGATAAAGACGACCATTTCTGCATTTTAGTAAATCTAAAAAAAAAACTACTTTTCTTTTCTGATAACTGAAATTTAAGCTTGTTAGCAAAAATCAACGAAATCAAACATACTAGTAAGTCGATAACATAATAACTGAATTCAGATTCCACAAGAATGTTAAAAAAAACAGAACGAAATATCAATCGATGCTACTCTAATCTTCAATTCTTCATAATAGTTTCAAGAAAAAACCATAAAACACAACCTCAACATTCCACAAAATTTCAGCAGAAAATGAAACAAAAAGAAAGGTGAAAATCTGGGATTAAGTACCTGCATCCATTTCGCCGTATGATTGCTAACTTGGTTGCTAACGAGGCTGAAATTACGAGTCGTAGATCCCAAATATGATGATCTGATTAGGGTTTTCAGAACACCTGAACACGCCATTTTTTTCCCAGGAAAAAAATCTCTTTTTGTTGGTAATGGAATTCGAAGCTCAGACGGGAGAGATTCGACCCGTATTAGTTAAAGAGACTTCACATGATTGTTGGGCTCAGTCTTTGTGGATTAATGTTTGACCCATTTTTAACCCCCAAATTAGCAAAATAAAAAACAATGCTCAATTTATTCCAAAATACAAAGTTTTATAGTATATCCAAATATAAATTATATTAATATCAATCTATTGTTTATATTGAATGACGATGTCATGAAAGAGACTTCGAAGATAGAGATATTGGATAAGTCGTCAGAAGTTTCATCGGAGAAAAAATTAAAATTATTATTTTTACTGATGTGAGTTTTAGAGAAAAAAATAAATAAATAATGAATTATGAGAGAGACTAAATTGATATAGAGAATTAATTGTTCAAAATTAAGATCAATTAATAGAAAATATAAAAGTTGATAATTAATTTTATTATTATATTAATCTTATTAATTGTTATATTATTTATCATTAATTTTTAGTTTAAACATGTGTTTAATACTTGAATTAAACATTTTCTTTCTCTAAAGTTAAAACCTTAAGATGCCTTTTCCTCTGTTTATCTTTTTTGTTGATGAAATGCATGGTTTCAGAAGCAACTACCACGTTACTTGTTATTTCAGGATGGTCATGGAACCTAAATTGGACGGGTTCCGACCCAACTCGATCGAGTTAGATTTTCTTTTAAAAGAATTCGGGTTCGGGTCAGGTCGGGTTTTTTTAAGTGTGATATTCGGGTTGGGTTTGAGTTTAGGATAAAAAATACCCGACCCGAAAAAATATATAATTTTACATTGTATATTTAGAAATAATTATAATAATACCCCTCTATATATAATTTTTTTTTCAATTAAGTCACTGTTTTTATTGAATAAAAATAATTTTTTTTATTATTTCGTGTCGGATAGACCAAAAACCCGATCGGACCTATGTCCATCCCTACAATTTGTCGTTTATATAAAAACTATAAAAGAAATTATATATTTAAATGTGGCTATACAGTAGGCTCTCGTAGCTCAGTTGGTTAGAGCACCCGTTTAGTAAGCGGGAGGTCTTGAGTTCGACTCTCAACGAGAGCATGAGTTTTTCTTTTTATTTTTATTGGCTTTGCTTTTCCAGAATATTTTTTCCTCCTCCATGTAACAACAGTTTTAGCAACCCAACCACACAAAAAAGGAAAAAGCATTGAACACACTCGAATCTTCCTCTCTGCCAACAAACAGAATCAATTCATGTTAAACATTTGATTTTTTTTCATTTTTACTAAAAAAATATTTATTATCATTTTAAGCTGAACATGCCCTTAGTCTCATCTTCATGCCAATCCCAAGTCCTTTCCAAGGAAATGTTTATTGCCCACAAAGCTTCTCCTCTTTTTCTCCACCGATACTAACCCCAACCTGCTACTAAGTTGAGATGTTTTCCCAGGAAATTCACTGTTTCTGCTTCCCTTAACACATAGCTGCTGCTGCTGCCTCTGGTTCCACCGTCCATGGGGCCGTCTCTTCTGCGATTAGCCAACTGGCTGTTGCCGTTGCTATTGCCTCCGGGGCTTGTTTTTCCACTAAGGTTGACTTCTTGTGGCCCAAAGTGGAGGAGCAACAAGGTACCCTCTTGTTTTGAGCCCAGAGGATGCTGCTTTTGACGCTTTTCAAAAATTATGAAATAAGAGTTGAGCATAATGAAAAGGATAATTTTTTATTAGGTACCTTGTGTTCCATATTATTACACTAATTATTGATTCTTTATGTTAGCTTATCAGCAAGACCGTGACTATAATTTATGCTCTTTATAGTTAATAATCACAATCTCCTGCTTTCCTTTTTTTCCCTCATTAGTTTGTTCAGCATAGAAGCAGAATTTGGTGATGACGTAGCAAGGTTGGTAGCTGATGTTTCTAGATTAAGTTATATAAATCAGGTAAGGTCTTGGTTTGAGTTTGTGTTGTCTGTAGAATCATCATCCTTAATAATTTTTTCCATTACAAAGTAGTTTTAAGCTGAAAGCTTACCTTGTCTTGTATCTTAGCCCTTTAAATAGGACATCTTATTATTGTACCTTTCTTGTGTTTGTGATGCGATAAGGTCTTGGACAGCTGACTACAGTCATGTAATCTGTAGTTGGTTGTTTATGAAAGTTTTAAACTGTAAAAGAAAAACTAAAATAGAAAGAAAAGTATAAGAAAATAAAATTTATTTGTTAGTGGTTGCATTATATTTTTATCATATTCTTATATTGATAAGTAAAAACTCCAGCAGCTCATCAGTTGTAACTCATTTTTAATTCAAAAATGAATTGTTGAAAAATATCCATTTGTGGAATTGAGATGGTTTTCGCTATAAATTCCTAGGTTGTGTTGATGAGTTGATAACTCTTTGACCATATTACAAGCTCCATAAAACAGAAACATTAGTTAGGCTGTTTATCTTCCAACAGATTTTCTTTTTTCAATTTGGAAATTTGTAGAAATTATCTGGAAACAACGTATGTTGTCAAGTTAATTCTTATTTATTTCTTATGCTTTATTACTCAAAAAGAAATAAAAATCCAGAAGGGTTTTAGTTTCTGATGTCTGATATGGCACATTTGGGAAAGAAATGTCTCACCAATTGTTGGAAATTATTGGGAAACCATAACTATGTTACTGTCAGTTTAGAAAGTTTGAAATCTAAATTCTTTTCCATTATTCTTATTGTATTTATCATTTTTTATGTTGTTCCCTGTGTTGCCACAAATGCCTGATGCCTATGTGGTGCGACATGTCATTTTCATGATCCGGCTTTTGGTTTTTTGGATCCTTAGATTGTAATATTTAATGCCTTGCCCTATATACATACCTATCTGATTCATCTAATATGTTGTTTGTAGCTTCTACGGAGACATCGAAGGATAAATGTTAACCAGAGTTCACTTGGTCATGAAGAGGTATGTGGTTAGAGAATCTTCACTATGTAACAGATAAACGTTACGTATTAGAAACTATTTTGTAAGCTAAACCATATGTAATTTTTGGAATAACTAAATTGTATATTCAATATATAAATTATTTTTGTTCATGTTTGTTGTTGGGAGGTCAGTTGAAATGGTTTTGAATGCGTTTTCTGTCATTTGTGAAATTAAAAACCCTACAGTTTTACACTTAAAAGTAGTGGACAAAATGTATGTAAGGTAGAAAACTGTAAAAATGAACATTGCAGGGATCTAAGTGATAGTAGTTAGAAGTCACTGTGGTATCATATAAGGGTCTTGGGAGCAATTGTGCGGATCTCTTTCCCTTAGGAAGTGTCAAGTTCTATGGTTCGAAGCACCCATTCTTGTAGTGTCTTCAAGAATTATCTCAATGCATATGGGCGGTAGGATGATGTGTTCTTAAAGATCTCATGCCCTCACCATTTCGTTTCAAACAAATATGCCAAATATTATTTTTGTAGGTTTATTATCCATTTTTTATAGGTAATATATTTGAATAGGATAAATTATAAATTTCATCATTTAATTTTAACCTCACTCTTATAATGGTTATTAAAAGTTTAATTTTTTAATTTAATACTCGAGTTATTTTGTTTTAAAAGTTTAATATATTTTAACTTAAGAATAGATAATTTTTATAATTATTATAGGGTGATTACAAGATAGTATATATTTAAAAGACTCTCAATCATTTGACAATGAACACTCAAACATCCTTACAAATTTCGTGCTCGAACCCAAGACCTCTAAGAATAACAATCATCCCTTTTAATTAACTACTAAGATCAATTGATTCGTACAAGAATAAATAAAATTTTAAATAACCTAAATATTGTATAGAAATTGTGTATCAAAATTTCCAATATATTATATTTATTGCCATGAAAATTACCATTTATAGTCAACCTCCATTATATAAAATGATATTTTTATTGACATTTACATTAAATTAAGTAATAATACCAAACTAAATATAATACAAAATGAAATTGAAATAATGCTAATACAAATAAAAGAACTCCCATAGCATGTTACGATCCTCTTTGTATTAGCATTATTTACTTGACAATGTGATAGTTTTTAATATCTCAACGCAGTAGTGAAAGGAATGACGGTCAAGGGTAACCAGTTCTCTCTGCTCAGAAGGAATGATTGGATGGTGAAGTTCATGGCGGTCAGTCTATCGATCTGGTGATAACTCTTCTAGTTAACCCTGGCAGTGAGGTTAGCACCAGGGCCACGGTTGTTGTACTCGGCATAGTACAGTGTGTTCAGGGAATTGACTCCGTCAGGTCCGGCAAAGGGTATCCATCCTTTACGCTTAATCAAGTCTCCCAATGTGGATTCCATGATGACGGTCGTCGAGAATTTCCCCCACGGCCTGCCCAAGTACGTCGGGAATTTGTGCCCGTCGGGGAAGAGCTTTTGCTCGGGTACAATCCTGCAGTTTTGGATCACGGTCCCGGTGTTCTCATCAATGAAATCCCTGCCTTGTGCTGTAACTGTATTGAATTGATTAATCATTGGTCTCCTCACAATGATCAACGAGTTCTGGATAACGGTGGGGGAGTCGCCGAAGATGAAGTCGACGGTCCCGGAGATGACACAGTTGCGAAAAAACTGACGGTTTGCTTGATTGTGCAATGTGTCTTGGTAACCATCGATCCTGCAATTGAATACGGCTGATTTGTCTGATTGAACACGTGGAGCAACCGCCTGGTGCTGTTCAGGACCGGCATTGTTCTGGAATCCCATCGATTTTGCAATGAACCCGTTTCCGATGGCAGCTGCATCATTAAGATTATGAAATTATATATAGAAGATCCGTAATGGTGTGTTAGATATGTTACTAATTGTTATACATGGCCTGAGTTCTTAGAAACTTACAAAAAGTGGCAGTCCGCCAAGTGGTAATTCCGCCACCATTTTTGACGGCCTTGCGACCCGTGACGATAGTTTTTCTCGGGCAGCCTTAATGTAGATCACATGTCGGACATTAGATTTCTTGGGAGCAGCTGCTAGTGCTGCA